TTCCAAGTTTCCAAGGCTGTTTGTTAGACAGCACCAGTTCCTGGGAACACATTGTTTCTGATAAGCTCAAAAGGAGCTTATCCCAGGTGCTGTTTGTCAAGGCAAGGCCTAATGAACATTTCTCAGGTCACAGTGTGTCGTAGCCGTGGTGTCTCCAGACTCTCCTTAATGTTCTCAGAAGCCTGAGGGGATGCTGGGAGAAGAGAGTTTGCTTTCTGGGCCTGTCTGTCTGGGATTTCACAGAAACACAGAATCATGGAATGGTTTGGGTTGGAAGGGACCTTAAAGCTCAGCTCATTCCACCCCCTGCCATGGGCAGGGACACCTTCCACTAGCCCAGGTTGCTCCAAGCCCTGTCCAACCTGGCCTTGGACACTTCCAGGGATGGGGCAGCCACAGCTTCTCTGATCAACCTGTGCCAGGACCTCACCACCCTCACAGGGAAGAATTTCTTCCCAATATCCAATGTAACCTACTCTCTTTCAGTTTAAATCTGCTATGATGCAGTGGGTTACCTTGGCTCTGTGCTCCAGCTCCCTCTTGCAGCACCAGCTGCTGCCTGTGTGGCTTCCCAAGCCCTTGGAGGGCTGTAGGGGACTGTTGGTGACCTTGGGGTCTAAACGAAGTTGCTGGACTGAGTCATGTGGAGCAGGCTGGGACAGTGGGCAGGGCCGTCCTTGGGATGGGCAGTGTTGCTCTCACCAGTTTCCTGAGAGCAGAGGGGTTCATTTTCTCCACCACACGCTGGCTGGCACCGGGTTGGCTGTTCCCTCCTGGGGTTGGGATGCTCCCAGCTGGGAGGTTGGAAACATTTCGCTCTGACAATCATCTCCCCCCTCAGACGTGGACCAACAGCATCAACCAGGACAGAAAGACATCCCTGCTCGCCTGGGAGAAGGAGACCGGCATCGAGCTGGTGCAGATCAACGGGCAGCGGCGCTACGGGGGGCCACCCCCAGGTATGTGAGGGGAGGCCATCCCCAGGTATGTGAGGGGGGGGTCATCCCCAGGTATGTGAGGGGAGGCCATCCCCAGGTATGTGAGGGGGGGCCATCCCCAGGTATGTGAGGGTGGCAGCTTGGCGCCCTGGTGCCCCGTGGGCACAGCAGCTCTCCCCACGGGCCCCCCTGGCCGTGTGCCCGCAGGCTGGGTGGGCGACCCGCCGCCCGCCGGCACCGAGGTGTACATCGGGAAGCTGCCGCAGGACTTGTACGAGGACGTCCTGATCCCGCTCTTCCAGAGCGTGGGGAAGCTCTACGAGTTCCGCCTCATGATGACCTTCAGCGGGCTCAACCGGGGCTTCGCCTACGCCAAGTACAGCAGCCAGCGCGGCGCCAGGGACGCCATCGCCGCCCTCAACCGCTACCAGGTGCGCCAGGGCTGCGCCATCGTGGTGTGCTGGAGCACGCAGAAGCGGGAGCTGAGCGTGGACGGCCTGGCCGCCTCGGTGAGCCAGCAGGAGCTGGAGGCCACGCTGCAGAGGGCCACCGAGGGCGTCCTCAGCGTCACCCTGCACGCCAGCCCCCGCCAGAGACAGGCCAAGCTCGCTGTGCTCAAGTACAGCTCGCACCAGGCTGCTGCCCTGGCCAAGAAAACCCTGATGGAAGGTGAGTGATGCCGTGGGATGCAGCTGGGGCTGGGCTTCCTGGTGTCCCTGAGGAAGGGTTGATCCCACCTCCAGGCTTGGCTGCGAGGTAACTTCAGCCTTGAGACACCTCTTGTGTCTTGTGGGATACCAGCTGCTCTTGGTGTGGTTGATCCCTTGGATCTACAAGTCCTAGTGGTGGTGGGATGAAGAGGCTGCTGGAGGTCTTCAGAAAGTTGCCTGCTCAGAGGGGGAACATCACCAGTGCCATTCCAGAATATCCAGAGTGTTGACCAAGTTATTAAACCCTCCCAATGGAGCTGCCCAACCCCTCAGTGTCCCTTAAACCCTCCTGATGGAGCTGCCCTACCCCCTCAGAGCTCCGTCCCATGATTGCACTGGGACACCTTTCCCAGACATTCAGCTGGGACCTTAGACCGCCAAAGTCCTGTTTTGTACCCGTTTGTGCCCCAGATGAGAAGCATTTGGTTTTGGCATCTTGCACCTTGTCCCTAAAGCCAGGCTGCCCCTAAAATCCTGGGGATCACTGCAGCAGATGCTGAGGGGTGGGATGGGGTGATGCTGCAGGGCAGGTGAGCATGTCCTGTCTCTCGCAGGGAACCTGAGGCTCAGGGGATCGGGGATGAGGGTGGAGTGGCTGCACCCTGACCTGAAGCAGAAGCTGCAGCTGTGGGAAGAGAGGCCACCATCCAGCCAGGTGCAGGAGGACAAGAGCCTGGCAGTGCCCAAGCCACTGGCCCTGCCTCCAGCGGTGCAGAACATGTTGGACCACCTGAACACCCCGTGCAGGAGGCAGCGCCTGGGGACGCCCTTGTTCCTCACCAAGTGCGTCCAGGTGAACCCCAATGGGTGGCTGCTGTTCTGGTACCAGGTGCAGATCCCGGGGTACCCCATGCCCTTCAGTGGGTTCACGTGGGTCCGGCAGGATGGGCAGAGCCAGAGCAGGCACGAGGAGGCCAAGGCTGCAGTGGCGCTGCACATGCTCCGTATGTTAGGTGAGCCTTTGGTGAGTCCTCACGTCGTGTCTGTGCCAACCCCCCACCTTTCCCAAAGTCCCGGAGTGTCTCCTGGGAGTGTGGAGTGTGTGTCTGGGGGGAGGACCCAGCCTGGTAGGCAGGGCTGAAACACTGTCTATCCCCTGCTAGACGGGACCCTGCTGGCTCTGAGCTCCGGGTGGGATTCCTGGTTGGAAGCAGAGGGTGCAAGAGGAGGGTTTGGGGTGAGAGCAGAGCCTGACACTCCCCTCTCCACGGCAGGGTCCCAGCTGGCATAGGGAGCTGCTCTGCCGGAGCCACAACTGAGCCTGAGTCACCGGCTGCAGTGCTGCCAGCCGTGTCCGAGCCCTGCTGGGGCCCCAGCCCTGTTCCAGCTTTTCTTTGGGATTGTTTGCATCGGTTTTGGAGCTGGATCTGGAGGATCAGGGCTGCTGTCCTGGTCCCCAGCAGCCGCCCTGTCCCCAGCCAGCTTCTGCATTGTTTTGGGCATGTTGGTTTTTCTGCCCAGTTTGTCTTGTTTTACATTGGTTTATGCTGAGGTGGAGGAGCCCAGTGCATGTCCTGGAGGAGCAGCAGCTGCTGGGAAAGGATGCCAGTGTGGGATGCCAGCATGGTGGACGTGTGGACGAGGTGAGGACAAGGCCACACACAGGGACCATCGTGGTGCCCACGGACGTTCCATGGGCTAGAGGAGCTGCTGTCCAAGGGAGTGCCTGCGGGCTGTTTGCTGTTGCACCGTGTCCAGGAAGCAGCTGTGGTCATTCCCAGCTGTCCATGAATGATTCCTCAGGACTGGGAGGAATGTTGTTCCTCCAACAGCCACATGTTGTTCATTTGGAATTAAAGAATTCTAGGAAGTACCAGCTGTGTCACGTCATCTTTCCCTCCCGCATCCTCGGCTCCCTGCCTGTCCAGTGTACCTTGGTGCTCTCCCCCCACAGCAGCAAGGGCAGGGAAAAGGATGGGGTGGGATTTGGAGCCTCCACAGCCCGGTGGGCTGCTCATCAAACCAGAGAGGGTCCCCTCACACCCCCACTTTGGGGGGGGTCCCCCGTGCTGGTGCAGTCCTGGCACACAGACAGTGAGGCCAGGGGTCTCCAGGCTGAATTCCACCACCCCCCTGAGTGGGATGGGAGAGGTGGCTGCTGGGGGTCCTGGCTCCCCCTGAATCCTTCCAAGGCCCCACTCACTGCAGGGTGTGTGCAGTGATGGTGGGGCCAGACCAGTCCTTGAAGCCTTTCCTGAATTCCCAGCCCAGCTCCAGGCAGATGAATCCCGAATGGGGCACGAGGGTGGTGGGAGACCCAGGACACGATGGTGCTGTGCTGCTTCTCCCCGGCCCAGGAGGGACAGTGGGGGTCTGTGCCCCGGGGTGGGGTCCCAGAGCTGTCCCAGGGTGTCCCTCTGTGTGTCCTGAGGGGTCCAGTGTCCATCCTGGAGGGTTCCATATCCATCTTGGGGGACTCTCTGTCCTTTCTTGAGGGTCTGTGTCTGTTCCAGGGGTCGTGGATCCTCCAGGTCACTGCATTGCCAGTTACACAGAACTAACATTTAGTGGAACGCTGAGAGAATCAGTCAAGAGGCCCAACAGATTTCTGGGGCTCTGTGGCCGCCTTAAGTAACAAATTGTAACACTCTTGTGAATAATTTTATATCCTGGCTAATAGGGTAGTACCTGTATCCACTGTGCATCCAGGGCCATATTCCAGCAAGGCAGTAAAGCAATGCCTGTTCCTACATTGGTATTAACGAGATTCGTTCCTGATTTTCAGCGACAGCTCCCCCAGCTCCAGCAGCACCTCTGGCCTTGTCCAGTCCCATCCCAGCAGGTGCAGCCTCAGGTGCAGTCAGATTCCAGTTCTGGGGGTGGTCCTGGTCCCTCTGCCCCCAACCCTCCCCACTCACGGCACATTGTGATGCACATCTGAACCTACCAAGCCCCTTTGGCAGCACCCAAACTCCATCCTCCTTTCTTTTGGAGACCCCCAGGATCCTCCAAGAGCCTCCTGGTGCACCCTTAGGTGCCTGTTTGTACTCCCTGGAGGTCTGTCTGGCCCTCCTGGGCCAGGACCCTCACCTGCCGAGGCAGAGTCAAACCACGGGCACAAGGCGCTGGGAAGTGAAAGGCACTGGGTTTATTTGTAACAGAGATGATGTCTAAATTAGTTAACAAGGGCTAATTGCTGCCGGGGACAGCAGGGCAGGAAAGGGAGGGACCTGTTTTGCCCAGCCCAGGCACCCCAGGACCCCAGGTCAGCCCCTCACTCGTGAGAATTGTCCTGCCTCACCCTTTCCCCCCTCCCCCCCATCCCAGGAGCCCCAAATATGCCAGCAAACCCGAGAATTACCACCCCCTCCCCCCCGAGCTGCATCCCCACCAGGGGTACCCAGCCATATACCCCCCATATCTCAAAGTCACCCCATCCAGCAGGGATCTTCAATCATGACACTTTCCCCCCCAAGCCCCCTCCACTAGGGACCCTAAGCCATGTCCCCCATCCCTGGATCACCCACACCAGGGACTTTGTGGTGACCCCCTCCCCTGAGTCACTCCCACCAGGGACCCCCATCCACATCCCCCCCCATCTCAGAGCCTTCCCATCCACCAGGAAACCCCATCCCTGTCACCCCCCCACATCTCAGAGCCCCCTCATCCACCAGAGATCCCCATCATGACCCTCCACCCCTTCCACCAGGGCTCACGTCCCCCCCAGTCCCTCTCACCCCAGCCATGTTCCCCCCTCCCAAGGACACCCAGCAGGTCCCTCCTATGTCAAGGCACACACCCCCTCCCTCGGGACCCTCGGGACCCTCAGCCACACCAGCCCAAACTTGCCCCCCAATCTGGGGCCATCCCCGGGGCTCCTCGCACAGGGGCCTCCGAACCCCAAAACTGCGGCTGTACCAGGGAGCCACTGCGGGGCAACACTGTCCTGTCCTGTCCTGTCCTGTCCTGTCCTGTCCTGTCCTGTCCTGTCCTGTCCTGTCCTGTCCTGTCCTGTCCTGTCCTGTCCTGTCCTGTCCTGTCCCGCCCAGTCCCCTCTGCTCCTTTAAGATACCGCCCACCGCCCAACTTGAGTGGCAGCTCTCGCAGCCAATCAGAACGCCCGCGCCCCGCCCACCAACGCTGTAGGATACACGCTTGGCCCCGCCCCGTGGGCGGGCACTCCCGGAAACCGCGGATCTGATTGGCCGCGCCGTGCGGAGGGGCCGCGTGAAGCCCCGCCCCCGCGGCGGGCGGGGCGGCAGCGCTGAGGGGGCGGCTCCCCCGGCGCGGGGCCGCTCAGTCACTGTCGCTGTCGCCGTCGCCTCCCCCCGCCGCCGCCTCCTCGGGCTCGTCGCGCAGGTCGGCGAAGAAATCCTCCCCGCTGCCAAACGCCTTGCTGCTGAGGGCCCGCAGCGGCCCGCCCCGCTTCTTCTTGCGGCGATAGTCGTCGACCACCAGCGAGCGCAGCGCGGACACGTCCCAGAACTTCACCTTCTGGTCGTGGGCGCTGCTGGCCAGGAGGGTCCCGCCCGGCCCCAGGGCCAGCTGCTCGATGGGCTCGCCCAGGTGCTGCCCCACGCTCCCCACCACGCGGTTCGGCAGCACGTTCACGGCCCTGGCACCGCGGGACGAGGTGAGGGCCGGGCGGGGGGAAATGGGGCACCACGGGCCCGTCTCCCCCCCGCGACCTGTGTGCTGGGCAGGGCTGAGCCCGTCATACAGCCTCCCTATCCCCTCCCACCCCATCCCCATCCTGCACCTCCCCATCTCCATCCCACTCCCCACAATCTCTCTCCATCCCATCCCACCCCCTTCCCATCCTATCCCCATCCCATCACAACCTATCCCACCCCCAATTCCTCCCCACTCCTCCCCATCCCATCCCACCCCCCACAATCCCTCTCCATGTCATCCCACCCCCTCCCTGTCCCACCCCATGTCCATTGCAATCCCCTCACCCCATCTCCATTCCACCCCCTTCCCTCCCCATCCCACTCCCCAAAATCCCTTCCCATCCCACCCCATCTCCATCCCACCTCTCCACAATTCCTCCCCATCCCACACCTCCCCATCCCTCTCCATCCCACCCCACCCCGTCTCTCCACTCCCCCTGACCTGATGACCCCGTCCAGGGACCCCACACACACGATGCTGTCCGTGATGGGCACCATGCAGTCGATGGACTCTGCCCTCAGCGCAAAGCGGTCGCTGGCGGCCCCAAACCCGTCCCAGTTGAAGAGGTAAATGGTGCCCTCACTGGAGCCACACGCCACTTTCCTCCCCCTCTGGGCACGTGAGGCAGAACAAGAAACTCAGAGCATGGACATGCATCCATGGGATCCTGCTCCGTGTCAGGGGACAGCGCCAACCTTCAGCAGCACCACGGACGTCAGGTCCCCGTTCTGCGGCTCCGAGAGCAGGTCAAAGCGCCGCCTCTTCACGTTGTACACGCCCAGGGTGCCATCCCCGCTGCGGAAGGGACACACTGTGAGCAGGGGACACAGCACAGGGCGCTGCCCCCAGCGGACACCGGGAGCCCGACCCCAGGTACCTGGCGGTGAGCAGGATCTTCCCGTTGCCATCCACGGCCATGGCACTGATGTATTCCTCCTGCTGCCGGGCCTCCAGGATGGCATCGCCCCTGCGCAGGTCCCACACCTTCACCGCCCCGCCGTCATCGCCCGTGGCAAAGACGTGGTGGTCGATGGGCAGCACACAGTTGAGGGCCGAGCTGCAGAGAGCCCACGGTCATGGATCACACAGCGGGATAACGGTTCCCGGAGCACCGGGAACAACGCTCCGGGCTCTGCCTGCCCGCCTCCGGCAGGGAAGGGAAGGGCCCAGGATGAGCCGCCTGTGCGGACTTACCCGTGGGCTTTGGGAAAGCGCGTTTCCAGCCGTCCCTCCTCCACCGTCAGGATGTGGATGGACTTGTCCTTGGACACGGTGAAAAGCTCTGGGGAGCCCCGTCAGTGCCCCCAGCCCCGCCGTGCCCCCCGTGCCGCCCCACGCGCCCCGCACTCACTCTGCCCGTCCTGGGAGAACGCCACGTCCCGGCACGACTTGAGGTGATGCCCCGAGGACCAAAGCTGCCGGTTCTCCCCCTCGGTGCAGGAGTACGAGTACCTGCGGGCACGGGGAGTGCTCGCCGGGAGCCGCGGGCGGTGCCTAGCGGTGCCCAGGGCCGGGACCCCTCCCCACGCCCCCGGCCCCACTCACAGGTACACATCGCCATCCACGTCCCCCGCGGCGAGCAGCGGCCGCTCCGGGTGCAGGGCGATGGCGTTGGCCGTGGCCTCGAAGCAGATGTCCTCGGGGGTGTCCCGCAGCCGCGGCTCCCGCGCCGCCGGCTCCTCCGAGGAGTCCTGGGGGCAGCGGGGCCGTGGGACCGGGGCCGTGGGGCTCAGGGGCATCGGGGTCCCGCAGCCCCACGCGTGCTCACCTCCTCCATGGCGGCCGCCATGGCACCATGTGATTTGCATGTCCACGCCCCTCGTTTGCATAACACCGCCTCTTTGCTTATGTAGGACCGCCTGCATTCCTCCAGCGCTCCTTGGACCGGCCCCGGCCCGGCGGGACTGCGGGATGTCACCGGTTCGGGGTGTCACCAGCTCGGGGTATCGCCGGCCCAGGCTGTGGCCGGCACCCCCCGGCGAGTTCCAGCCCGTGGGCCCTTGTGGCCCCATTTCAGCAGGACTCGCCTCCTCCGCCTCCTTTTTTTACTGTTCACCAATGGGAGTCCCACGGGTTCCCCAGTTCACACCACGGGCCTCCTGCCGCTGCGTCCCAGGGGCACTTTGGTTCCTTTCACAGCCCGAGGGGCCCCAGCCCAGCCAGGGGCCACCATCAACACCCCTGCCCTTGTCCAGAGGGGCCATCCCAGCTCCCTGCTGGCCCTGCATGGTGGGGACAAGCTTTGCCTGGTGCTGGCCCCATCACACCCACCCACAGCCACCCCTAGCAGCTGTCAGGGCAGCTTGCACATCCCCTGCTTCAGGCCCTTGCACTTTCTGTACTCCTGTTGAAGGTCCCCTTTCCTCTCCCTGCACTGAGGCACAGGATGTTCAGCTGGGACTATTGCCCCCAGATAGGCTTAACCTGTTAATTTTATCCAGGGGTGCTGCCCCCCACCCCAAAAGTCTCCCACAATAAATACCCTTAGCCAGGGTTTGCCCTGTCAGCCCCCAGAGTGCCTGGTAGGTGGAAAAGAAGTCCTGGCATCCCTGCTACTCCGAGCCCAGCCCAGGCACCTTCTCCTGCCCACACAAACAGAGGCTCATGCAAACTTATTGTAACTTTATTAAGGGTACAACATTTACACTGCACAGGCTCTACAGCAAAGAGTGGAGAGAGGGGAGAGCCCCCCAGCCCAGAGCAGAAAGTGGACGGTGTGTGGGGCAAGGAGAGCACACCAGGACACTTCTGGGAACAGCACCCAGCAGGATGGGCTTCCAGGAATGGGAGGAGGATATGCTGGAGACATCAGTACTTGGGACGTTTCACTTCAACCCTGGAAGACAGAGAGGGGCAGGAAGGTGGTGAGGGTGCAGGGCAGGCAGCTCTATCACCCTCCCATCCAGAGTTCAGCACCAGGGACCACAGTTTCACCCCACAGAAGGGTGAGGGGGCCCCAAGAGGGCCCCTGCAGCTGAGCCCTGAGGAGACACAACTGTACTGACCCATCAGCCTCCAACTTCTTCCTCTTCTCGATGATCTGCAGAGAAAGCACAAAGTGCCATTACCCTCAGGGAATGTGGCTGTTCACAACCTCAGCAGAGGGGCTGGAGGGTCCCAGATACACCCAGATCACTGGATCCAGCCCAGAGCGAGCTGAGCGGAGCAGCTTGTTCCCCCTTTGCTCCTTTTTGGCCACCACAGACCATCTGTTTTCATGTTGTCCATCCCATCCCATACTCTTGGGGTGCCCATTGGCCAGCTCACCCTCCCAGGACAACCCCCAGCTCTGCCAGCTGGCAAACAGGGAGCCACCAAACATGGTCTGTCCCCTCCAAGCCCCTTTGGATGGCTCCAAACTTATAATTTGGGTACATTCACCTGCTGCACAGCCCAGAGCAAAAAACCCCTGACTGAAGCCCAAAGTATTTGGCTGATGCTCTTGCAAGGAGCAAATCCAACTGCTCGAGAGCTGGCCCTGCTGCACACACACTCCAGCAGTGTCCCAGTGCCATGACTGGGACAGTGAGGGCAGGACTAGCTGGGAGCTGTCCTGGGCTACACTGGCAGTTTGTGGATTAAGTCCCCAGGCCCCAGCACCAGGCACTCACCGCGCTGATCTTCTTCCACTGCCGGTCCAGCTCTGCCTTGTCATTCGTCTCCTTGAAGCGGCGGGTTTTGCGCCCCTCAGACATCTTGATCCCGTACTGGAACGCTGCCCTGGGGAAGGAGCAGGACAGCTCAGTGCTTGCAGGGAATTCACAGCCTGCCAGAGAAAAGGATGCATCTCCCCAGCCATAAACACATACTCCAGACCTGGCTTTGGCCCCTGAAATCAGGGCGGGAGTCCTCAAAAGTGATTCTAAGAGCAAAGACAAATCAGCAGGCCCTGGACCCACCGCTCCTCCTCAGGGCCTCACCAAGGCACACCCATCTTGTTTAAGCTCCCCCAGCACCCAGGTTTGGCCAGCATGGCCACCCCACCCACAGAGGGTGGCCCTTCCCATAGGCTGCACTCACTTGGGCAGAGCCTCCTTGTTGTTCATGTACTCGCTGTACTCCTCCTGTGTGTCGAAGTCCCAGCGGCCCAGAGGCCCCTTCTTGTTACCCTGCAGGGAGAGAACAACTCAGAGCAGCTCCTCAGTGGCTGCTGGTCAGGGTGTCTGACACAGCCCTATGTGCCCAGCCACAAGCTCAACCTCCCACCAGCCTTGGCTCTGGATCCCCTCCCTGAAAAGCTCCAGGCAGGAGACATTCAACACCCAGCTCCAGGGCTTTCTCTCTCCCATGGGATCCTCTCAGCCAGCACTAGTACCCAGTTTGCTGGCTGCTTCTAAAGGCTGGTGACAAAATACCTGATCCATTTTGCTGTAGTCCACCTCTTCATCACTGTCCACAGCCATATCATCCATTCTGGGAAGGAAAAAGCAAGGAAAGGGTTTAAAGTGGGTCCATGGGACATAGATCAGGACCTTTGAGCTGGTGGGAGCCCTGTCTTGCGGCCTCAGACCAAATGCACTCAGTTCCTGGATCAGAGAGAAGAACCCCCAGGGCTGCAAGTCTCGCAGGTGAGCTGTACCACAGAGCACTCCAATGCTCCCAGGATGACTCTACAGGCTGAAAGCTGTTCCTCTTCCATTGAGAGAGGCCAGAGCTCCAGATGGATTACCTGAGAATTCAGATTCCCAGCCACTTCAGCCTCTCCCAGGCTGTGAGGGGCTGCAGCTCTGAGCAGCTATGTACAGCAGGGAGCAGCTAAGAAAAGGCCAGGTCTGCCAGAACCAAAGACTGGGGGAACATTTTAACAGTCAACTGTAACCACAGACAAGGCCAGGCCTGCTCCCCCAACAAACAGTGGGGCTGATGTTCAAGTTCTTGCTGCCAGAGAACAGCAGCCCCCCCACACACCCTGATCCCCTTTACACACCCCACTCCCACCCCGCAGCCTCCCGCTGTTCCTTACGTGGCAGGGTAGCACTCGGCATAGCTGTTGGACATGCCAAAGAAGTCTCCCAGCTGCTTCTTGTCCTCTGGCTTCTTCAAGGTGACAATAGTTAAGGAAAGCACCACCACAAGCCCTACAGCTATAGGCTGAGCACAGCCAGCTGGAAAACCACCTCCTGCCCCAACACTGCCAAATCGGAGGGTGCAGAGCTCATGTTTGGTGTAGGAGCAGCAAGGTTTGGGCAGCATTTCCCTGCTCCCAGGTGAGGCAAGACAGTCCCACAGCCGTGCAGGGGCAGGGCCTGCCTGCAAGGGCAGCCTGGGCCCACACCCAGGCAGGCTGGCATGGACAGTAAAGGATATGCCTCTGCTCCTTCCCAGCCAGCAGCTCCAGCAAACTTCTCGTTGATGGACTTGATGAGCTCCTTGGCTGAGCCAGGTCCTGGGGTAGAGAGAGCAGCAGGTTAAATTCAGGGGGAGGAACAGGTCACTGCAATACACATGGAGCTGGGCAGAACCTCCATGGGACAGGGTAGCAGGCAGGACAGGCTGCAAGTGAGGTAGGACAGCAGCAGCAAACCAGTCTGATCACAGGACACTTGGAATGTTAGAGCGGTTGGGGTGGAGGGGACCTTAAAGACATCTTGTTCTCCCCTTGCCACGGGCAGGGACACTTTCCACTAGCCCAGCTTGCTCCAAGCCCCATCCAACCTGGCCTTGGACACTTCCAGGGCTGCGACATCCACAGCTTCTCTGGGCAACCTGTGCCAGGGCATCACCACCCTCACAGGGAAGAATTTCTTCCTAATATCTAACCTAAATCTCTCATCTTTTAGTTTAAGACCATTCCCCCTTGTCCTATTACTTCTCTGTCCAAGAAAAAGCCACTCTCCCTCTTTATTATAAACCCCCTTTAGGCGCTGGAAGGCTGCAATGAGCTCTGCCTGGAGCCTTCTCCCTGGAATCCTCCTCAGCTTACAGGACTCCTCTGCACAGTCCACACGCACAAGATTCTTCACCCCAGAGGCCTCACAGCAGGCAATTCCCTCTGTCACAGCAGTTCTGAAATCTCCAACCCTGTACAACGTCTTTCAGGTGTCCACACCACTTTACTCACCTTTGTCGATGTCTGTGGGCTGCAAAGAAGAGAGAGACACAATGTGACCCAGGAGGGCTGAAGGCAGGCGAGTGACAGTGCTGCCTGATGTGCAGCTCTGCTTTCAGACTCTGTTCCAAGCCCTCAGAGCTGAACCACAAACACTACAAGGTTTGTGCTAGTCCTGCCTCAATTGCTGAGAGACAGGACAAACACTCAGCCACCCACCAACCCCTGGGGACAGACAGAGCTCAGCAAGAGCTGACACTGTCATGTGTAGGGGCACCCAAAGCCCTCAGGGCAACCCCACAGCCCCACAGCCCCACTCCTCAAAGGGCAGAGCTCAGGTGGGACTGTCCTTCCTGAGCAGAAGTTACCTCATCATCAGCCTTGGGCTTCTCAAAGTAGCTGTGCCTCTTCTTCTCCTCCTCCCTCTCTCGGTCCCGCTCCCTGTCTCTCTCCCGGTCCCGGTCGCGCTCTCGGTCCCGGTCGCGCTCCCGGTCCCTGTCACGCTCTCTCTCCCGGTACCTCTCCCGTTCCTTGTCCCGTGGCATTTTGGCAGTGGAGGGCACATAATCCCCAATGTCTTCAAAGATGCTACAAGTGGGAAAGAGCCTGGGGTTATGGGTGCTGCAGGAGGAGAGGCCACAGTCACCTCCCTGTGACCTGGAACCTGGTAACAGAGCACAAAGCACCAGCACCGAGAGCTAGGGACAGCAGATGTGGAACCGGCTTCCACATATGTCAGAGGTATCGCTGTATTTCTGTTCTCTTCTGCTGCTGGATCTCCATCTTGTAGTCCAGAGCAACAGTCCCCGCCTGCCTCAAGCCCAAAATCCAAACCAGTGCTTGCCTCCTACAGCCTTGTCCTACAAACTGCAGGTCCAGCAGCTCCAAACCCAGCCCTCTCCAAACGTGGTGGGCCAAAAAGACATTCCCTAAGGCAGAGAGCTGTGACCCCAAAGCCTGTGGGCAGGGTGACACTTACTTCATATCAGCTTCAGGAGGCTTCTTCTCATCCAGCTTCCCTGCAAGGACACAACAGCAGTGAGAGGCACGTCATCTGCTGCTTCCCTGTCCCCAGTCCAGGTTCCAAACCCCTGGAGCGGCAGGCCTGGAGGATGTCACCACATCATACTCAGCCCCCTCAGGAAACCATTGCGCCCCTCCCCAACAGGGGACATTTCCTAGGGAACTAGACCTTCCCCAGGAAGTTCAGAGCAGCACAAGGCACCCTCACAGCTGTCATTTCCCAGCAGCCTGTCCTTCAGGACACAGTGCTCAGGAAGTGCTGTTCTCCAAGCCCACTGGCTCACGGAGCAAGGGAACGGCACACCCCAAAACACGTCTCATTCCCTCAGGTTCTGCTCCAAGCACTGAAGTCCTCCTATTCAGTTCCCTTCAGCTCGTACCTTTGTCCTTCTTCTTGAGCTTCTTGTTGCGGGTGCCCTGCCTGAGGTAGGAGAGGATCTGCGTGAGCTTGCTGATGACAATGTCGTTGGTAGTCAGGGTGGTCTGTGCCTGAAAGGCAAATCCACGAGGAAGCATCCTGCTCCCTTGGCAGGGACCCCCCTCTGGATAAACCTGCTCTGGCCTATTCAGACCAGTGAGGCAAGGCAGGCTGAGGCCAGCTGGGTACCTCCATGGTGGGGCAGTCGGCCTTGCTGCGGATCAGTGTGGTTGGGATGTCAGTGTCGGCGTACTCATCGTCCAGATCCACCACGTAGGCCATCCTGCCTGGCAGGAACAGCTCATTCCGCTCGTAGGTCTTGCTCTTGAACAGAATGCGGTAGATGTTGCGGCCTGGAGAGCAAGGAAAAGTGTGGGAGAGCAGCGGACAAGCCCATGGAGCACGTTCAGTTTATCAGCAACACCAGAATCGCCTCCTAAGCGACACACTTCCTACAGCCCTCAAATCCAGGACTCCTCCCCCTCCAATGACTAAAGGTTTTCATTCCTCCATTCACCCTCCAGGATTTTTCCCACATTCATGGCACAACAAAAGGTGGGGAACAGCCACACCCACACAGTCTTACCCAGCCGGGTCTTAAATTCAATTTTGTTCTCAGGATCTTCATCTTTCCTGAATGAAAACAGAAACCAAAAGTGTTAAGCCAAGCAAACGCCTCTCCTGCCTCCTCCTCTCTGGGAGGCAGCTGCAAAATCCTTTTTGAGGAGTCCAAAGTCCTCAGCCACTCACTTAGTCTCTTTCTGGGGCTTCTCCATCATTTCTTCCTCCTCCTTCTCCTTGCTGGCGATCTCAGCCCGTACCTGGATGTGCAGAACATCCACGCATTACAGCCAACCCCAGACACTGCCACCAGCGCCCAGACCCTTCAGCAACCCTTCCCACGAAGGGAAATCCAAACTGCCAAGATCAAAGCACCTGGAAATGGAACTACCAGCCTCTGCCTGTGGGAGAGGGCAGGGCAGAAGAACAGCCTGGTGGTGTCTGCGCTCACCTTCTGCAACAGCGCAAAGTCCAGACCCTTCACCAAGTGAGTGTGCTCCATGTCACCACCCAAGAACTTGGACTCCTGGATCAACTGTCTCCTCTTCTCCGCAGCAGATTTATCCCTGGGCAGTGAGAATGGAGCCAGTTAGAAGCCAGTTAAGGATCAGGCTGGCGAGCCCAGGCCCCACCACAGCTCACGTACGCCTCGGCCGTGGGCCCCACAGCCCTGTAGTTGGCCGTGGTGCTGATCAGCTCCGTCTCCTCGTAGTCCTTGTTCACTCCATCCCTCCTCTCCTTGGCTCGGTCCCGGTACTTCTCGGCCAGTTCCCTCTCGCGCTCGATCTCCTGCTGCCGCAGCTTTGCATAGTAGCTGGGGGTGGGAAACGCCTCCAGGTTAAGAGTGACACGTTCATGTTTTTGGGGTCAGATAACAGCCTCTGAGGCCCCACGTGTCTGTCCTGATCCCAACACCCTCCCCAAACCCACACTAAACTGCCACGGGATACAATGTGCATGGAGGACACCAGGCAAGAGGAAAGTGCTGTACTGAGGCCAACTAAAGAGCAGTTCCACTTTCCCTTCCAAAGAGAAGGAGTCCAGCACAGTCCTGTTGTGCAGACGTGCCCTAAAGGACACAGTGACCACTACCCATGCCCCACCACTTCCCTCCTCTACCAGACACCCACAGAGCCTCTTCTGCTTCTTCTGGAGGTGAAGCTTCACCCTCATCCTGCTGCTGTCCTCCCACAGCTGTTCCCACAAGCAGTGACAGGCCCTCAAGCTGAGCTCTTCTCCAAAGCTCCAAAATAATCCCTCTTTAGGAGCTCAAGAGCTCAGAAGCTCCTTCCATGGGAGGGACACGATGTATAATGACAAGTCCTGATACAATGCTTTTCCCATTTACCTTTTCTTCTTCCTCCTGCGAGCAGCTGGATCTTCATCCTCGTTGTACTCCCGGGGCATCCTGGAAAAGGGTGAGAAAACACATGTGTATTCTGCAGAGCCACAAGGATGGCAGGTGGAGAGAACAGTCCCTCAGACCCAGAACGGCACTGAGGAGCTCCAAGATGGAAAAGCACAGTCCCTCTCCCTAATTTCTTCCTAATTCCACTCTGCAGCAGGGAGAGGAGGGGAAAGCACTGATTTTCACCAAACAAAAACCAAATCTGCCTCCTGCACAAAGTGTCTTAACAGCCATGAACTTCATTCTGGTTTTGACAGCAGCCCTGACCCACGTGCTTCCCCACTTCACACACTCATCAGGAAAACCCCCTGTAGATACTCCACTGCAGAGTGCATGGGAGAGGATGACCTGAGCATGGAGCCCCAGAGGGAAAGCAGGAAAGCAAGCCTAGATTGTCCCATGGTCCTGTAAAACAGTCCTACTCACTCATGGTGGCGAGATTTGGACGGTGGCGCAGATGTCGGCGCAGCCCGCGGGGTCATGAGGAGCTTCCTGAAGTCTTCATTGGTCAGTTTGGATCTGCAAGGGAGAGAGGCAACAGAAACCATCATTCCCAAAGAGCTTTGGCGCAGGACAGCTTCCACGGAGGCAGTGGGTTTGCCAGCAGGTCCTGTGTGGTACAGATGGGCATGGGGTCTGAAGGATGGGGTGCACCAGTGAATCCCGGCTTCTAGATGGGCATCGGGCTGGGGTCTCATAGTGCTGGCCCAGTCCCACCCCAGCGCTACCCAGTGCCCCAGAGCTGTACTCACTGGTGGAAGGAGTGCGAGTCATCCACATCGTGGCCATCAGGGGCCAGGGGGTTGGAAAACGGCTCATCTGAGGAACGGGAGAGAGAGAGCTCAGACAGTGCCTACGTGGCACCGACCCCTCTGCCCACCCACCCGGCCCAGGAGCGGGGACGGGAGCAGTGTCCACCCGCAGCTCCGAGTGGATCCCAGCCCGCTGCCGCTTGTGCTCGGGACAAAGGCGTCCCGGTGCCACTGCGACACCCCCCGCCCCAACCTCCGCGGCTCCGCGCCCTCCCAGGGGTGTCCCATCCCCCGCGCCCCCAAAAACACCCGACACCCCCGCCCCGAGCGCACCGCGGCGTCAGCCCCACCGCGCCCCCGGTCCGCGCCCCGGGGATCTCCTCACCCCCGGAGGTCCCTTCCTGGCAATCTCTGCACCCCGTCCCCCCCCAGGGGGGTCCCTCGCACCAGCCCGGGGTCCCCCCGACCCCTCGAGAGTCCCCCCGCTCCCGCAGCCCGGGCTGGGCCTACACCGCTCCCCCTCACACCGGGCCGCCCCGCCCCGCGCAC